AAATATTAGCACTGTTCAGGGCCCAATAGCATGCACGCAAACATCCCTGATGTTTCTGAAACACAAATGAGATTCTTGTCTGGTGACTTATCTTTCAATTTCTTGTGGGTTAACCAATTACATTTTTAATTATTCCCAAAAAACAAAATCACCTCCCAAAAAGTGATTTTTCCGAAATCTGATTGCAGCCATTTTTCAAGTGGCAACCCTCAACTTTCTCGGGCGCTTAGGACCATTTTTCAACCGTAGTTTTTAGCCCTTCTGCTCTCATATGAAAGCTCAAAGACGCAGGGAGTTGATCCCGGCAATGATTTACACAATCTCACCATTTTGGAGGCCAAACAATCTCCTTTTTCAAAATATAATGTGGGGGCACTTTTAATGCCAATAAAGTAGTCAGAAATTCTCACTTGAATTAGTGATCTGCACCTTACTGTGTGCGCTGCGGACTGATATGAGGAAGCAAAGATGAAGATACAGGAAATATGAGATTTATCTGCCTTGGTTCAACGTTGTATTATTTTATTTTAACATTCGCAATATTCAGGATATTGTCACCAACTTAGATTTGGAATCCACCCTTTGTAGGTGACATGTACAGTGTTCTCCAACCTATAGAAGCCTCTTTGTGGCCCTGGCTCTGACATGTTTTTGTTTATCTCCCACCAAGTTTAAAACTAGTAACCAAGCTCAAAAATCTGGCTGCCAATTTTAAATTCCAGGTGCTACATGTACGTTAGACCAGTAAACAGGGCCCTACGTATCAACGACGGAGTATACGTAGGGCCCTGTTTACGGGTCTATATGCTAGCACTTTATGTTGTATAAGTTATACAACGTGATCTTGACGATAAAAAGCTGTCCTACCTCCAACAAGTATGTGACTACATGGGTTCAAAATGGAGGGAAGGGGGCTAAAGTTGCCCCTTGTAACCCTGTACTACTGCTCCCCGTTTAATTTTTTCCCTTCGTCAGACTCCACAGTGGAAACTAAACGACTGACATTTTTCATCTTCATGTCATTTTAGCACCCTCACAAGCTGTGTAGACATTTGTTTAACACCCACGTACGACGTGTGAAAAAAATGTATTGGAACCGTGAAGATTTCATACATGTAGTTCTTATGTCTCACTGTCATTTGCATGATTCACCAGGTTTTTGTTGTTTCAACTACCGACTGTCCATGAAACATAAACCTAACCTTCTGCCTGTCATGTAACTTCATCAGCAACTTTGGAAGACCTATACTTTTAGTTCTTCATTTGTCCTAGATGTACTTTTTTGGGATTTCACGGCGTAAAACAAATCTGCAACCCCCTCATCTCTGAATGATTTGGAATGCCAACGTGGATGCCGCGACGTTGGAGATGTTACTAGTCTATTATGCACGCGCCCATTGCTGCTAGACTGTCCATGTAATTTGCCCTGCGCGTAGACAGTGTATTTTGCCGTTTATCATGCATAGCTTAGATTCATTACCTCTTTTTCACAGAAGGACGGTTATGAACGGGCCAGGAAATGACGCATTATCACTGTGGTGTGAGACCTTGTAAAACAAGCCGATATCACG